GACCAGCCTAAAAGCCCCACGGCCGTATCAGAAGTGAAAGGTGCCGTTGCTGAGGGAGAAACAGGGCTGGTTTCAAACAAGGAATGAGTTGTTATAGCAGTGGCTCAGCATCTGGTCCAGCTGTGGCTGCTGTAGTGTGAAGGCGTAGCAGGCTGAGGAGGATTTTTGTGCTCTGTGCCCTTGGCCCTAGTTGTAATCTTGAGCAATTTATACTACAAATGGTGTGCAATGCTGTCCTGCCTCTTGAGGATCAGGGAAACGGGCAGTGTGACTCCCGTCACCCACCGGTTGGGTCCTGAGCAATATCACCACTGAGCCTGTTCTGCAGAAACCTGGGGAGGAAGGAGCCTTTTGTGTCTCTGATGTACTAACTATGCAGGTGCTCACTGCTTTCCTGTAAAAAGAGAAAGAAGGAAGGAAAGGGCGAAATAGTTCCCCAGCAGCTTGCGGGGGTCCGGAGCACCCCGACCCGCACTGTGTGGACACGAGGTGTCAGCATCTGCCCCAGGAGATCCCGGGGTGGATTTGCTTCTGGTGCTGCACATCCCTTGCTGAGCAGAAGGCCTCGGAGGGGATGTGCGTCTGTGTCTGTCTGTCTGTGCGTAGTACCCTATCTGAGGGGAGGAGAACCGTCAACTGTGTGTGGCTTCTCTGCCAGTTTTAGTTAGTGGTGTCTCACCCAAAATGTTATTTGTGCGATTTCCCATGTGAGCTTTTCCCAGCAGAGGAGCATCCCGGAGCGGGTGGCTCCAGGCTGTGTGTGTTGTTGTGTTTCGCCCAGGGACCCCGGTGTCAGTCTGCAGTGAGACGGCAAGGCTAGGCAGGAGCCCTTGCCCCGACGTTGGGGAAGAGGTTCGCTTAGCCTTACTGGTAGGCAGACCCGGTCTACTCCATGTCAAACCGTCGTCACTTTGATTTCTCTGTAAGTTATCTGACTTATTTATGTGGAACTCCGTTTCTCTGAATTTTTTGCACTACATGGGACTGGGGAGGGGATACAAGCAATAGAAGCCAACGTGTACAATAAAGACGTTTTCTTGAATACTGGATCCTGCCTCTTGCATCCTTCCTTTGGGCTTCTCTGGCCCCGCTCCCGTGGAGGCAGGGAGCTGCTCTCTGTATTGCCCTCTGCAGAGGAGGGGAAGGCGCCCCAGGCAGAGGGTGCTGCCCAGGCTGCTCCGCATCTGTGCCTGAGCTGCCACCGCTGAATTGTCCTCTGCCTGAGTGCAGCCGCTCCAGGTTTCGAGGCATTTGCACAGAGCAGGGACAGGCACCCGTCTGGAGGCCGCTTCGGACTGGCCCTGCCGCTGTGGACATCAGCAGAGGAGGCAAAGCCAGCTTTGAAGGAACGGCTGGACCACGGGTGAGCTAAAAGGAGCGTCTCAGCACAGGTCGTGGCTCTGCGCTCAGCGGGGTGCCTGGCTGGGGACACTGCTGTCCTGCGGACAAGGTGATTTCTATGTGCCATCACCCTACCCCAGAGAAAGAGCAGGGTGAAGATGCTGATGGTGTTGGAGATGCTGGGAAAAGCCCAGCCCATGACATAGAGGCTTTAGAGGCAGACTGATCTACACTTCTCCCCGCTGTTAAATTCCTAGTCCGGTGTCCCTAGGACCCCCCATCTCCAGTGCTGTTGACAGCTTTCTCCTGCAGTGGAAATGAAAACCAGATGAGAAACATCCTCCTTTACCTCCAGCTGCCACATGCATCTTGCCTGGGGGCGGGAGCTGCCTGGGGGCAGGCGTAGCTGGTTTTGGCCCCATTCAGCAGCGGGGAGGTTCCGCACCACATCAGATCCACCTTCCCATAGCTGCTGCCAGTCACTGCTGCCGGGGGGTGGTGGTGGGTGGAATACTAAACCCATTTCACGGTGGTGGGAGTGCAGGGGGTGAAAAGAGCAATGAGAAGCTTCATGGCAACATCCCAAGGGGCCCGAAAGGGAACTTTCCCATGCGTGTGTACCGCAAGCCCTGCAGTTGAGCCGCAGTGCTGTACAGGAGGCATGCCAGACTTGGCCGTAGCCCCGCCGTGTCCTCTTTCTTGCTGCTCTCTAGGCTCTTGCTTCTGTTTCGGGCTTCTATAAATAACTACCGGGCTGTAAAAGTCTTTCCAAAGTCTGGAGCCTAACTGCTTCCCTACCCAGTTCAGACTCTCCTGGAAGCAGAGCAATGGGGATCCGGAGAGCATCTTGCCTTGCGGTGTGCCCCGCACCGGAGAGAGGGAACCGTCCTCAGCCACCCCTCACACCCGGCCCCGCCAGCTGCAGTGGGGTCACTGGTGTCCCAGTGAGCAAGATGATGGATATTTGCAGGAGCTGCAATAAGAGCAGGAGAGAGGCAGTTCTATCGCTATTCCAAACTGTAAGGTTTTATTTAGAACAAACACGTCGGAGGAACGGCACATTTCTGGTCACAGTGCTGACCGTGTTAGCCATGGATCTTAAGAGGAATCATACTTCTCCTGAATAAAACCCAGTTGTTGCTGTTCGCTGTAATTTTTGGTCTCTGCCAGGAGGCGCTGGGACGTGGCTTTGCTCTTGGGAAGTTGTTTCACAGCTGTGCAGAGAGAACGGAGCTTGCAGAAGCACCCTGCCATAAAAATGAGGGGGTTTCTGATAGGGCCCCTCCGGAGGGGTGTCCTGTTGCTTTGCTTGGCCGTGAAGGGTTAATGGATTATACACCAGAAGGGGAGGGGGCTAAAGAGGCTGTTTTTAAAGGTCAAAGATGTAGAGGCCTTTGAGAAATTTTATGGCATGTTTGTTATCAGCAACCCTCTCTGGGCAAGCGTTGCCTGCCTGTACAATCACCACTTTGGGGGTATGTTGATTTTGTTACTGCAGGATGGCTTCAGTTCCAAGACAAGGCAGACGCAAACAGAGTCTAACACGTCCAGTATGTCCATAGACCTCACATAGCAAATCCCAGTTTGATTCAAAGAGATTTTCTAGATTTTCTTTTCAAATCCCAGTTTGATTCAAAGAGATTTTCTAGCAAACGTGTCCTCCCCTGCTTTTAAAAATCCTGTGTTGAAGGAGCCATCACGGTCCTCTGGGAGTTGTTCGGGTAAGAAATAACCTTTCCTGTTACAAATGCATGTCTTTTTCCCAGGTTCGATCTGTCCAGCCCCACTTTCTCCCCATCTCTTCTCGTTACCTCTTTGCCAGCTGGCTGCCGCGGGTCCGTTCCCCGTGCGGGCGCTTCCAGCCTCTGCGTCCCTGTGGCCTCGCAGCTACCGAAGCAAGATGGAGCTGCCGGACTGTCGCTCGAAACAGGCTGGAGACAGGACCTGCTCCCCGGAGCAGCCGGCAGACACGCGCTTCCCAGCGAACAGTCAGTCCCAGTTCACAGTCGCTGTTGCCTCTCCCTGGCCGGCCGGTCTGTAATAGATCGGTGGATCCTACAGTCTCTGGAGTGTTTCAAAGTCGTACTGGAAAGTTGTCACATCACGTGCTTGATTGATACTAATTTCTTAGAGCAGCACTATTATTTATATTAACAGAATCTGATTTTTTTATTTTTGTTTTCAAATGAGGCAGCAATTAAATTACTTCGACAAGATCTAATTTCCATACCCCTGAGTTGATTTGTATTAATTATATTCTCCTCCTTTAATTCTTAAAAGTTACGCAAACTCCCTAACAGCTGTTACATCATTTTCCTAGGAACTGGTGTCAATTGACAAACCCATAATTACCGGGATGGTCTTCTTTACCCATTGAAATATTGGTATCCCCATTAATTTATGTGATTTCTTTGCAAATTCCACATTCCTGCAAGACTTACTGCAAATAAACAGCAGCGATCCAAGACCTTTGTTGTTCCGTGTTGTAAAACTCTTGAATATGAATTCTCCGGCCCTTCCAATCCCAAGCAACAGTTTTGTGTTTGCTTTTTAACAGCCACCTGCAGTACCACGGAATGAAAAGGGGTTTGTCATTTCCTATGGCTGTACTGCCTTTTTTTTTTTTCAATCCACAGAACAGAAATATTTATTCTGCATCTGCCTTTTGTATTATCATTAACTACTCACTATTGTTATTTCTATTTCCACACAGTAAGGGACTCATACCATGGTCAGGAATCTCTGGTTTGCCTCCTTTTAAGGCATTTCTTCTATAAATATCCCTTTAGTTTTGCTGGTCATACACATCCCCTTTTAGGTTTTGCTTCCTTTATAATTTTTCCGTAATTCCTAGATTTTGGTATATACTAGCTTTCCCCTGTTTACTTGTTATATTTTCATACTGGTTTGCTCCACCTCTAATCCAGGCTGGTTCTTTTTAATTAGCAGGACTGGTCTGAGCGCAGCCTTTTGAACACCTGGGAGAACGCTTGCAAAAGAATCACCAATATTATCTTTCTGCATCCTTTTTTCTTCCGGCTGAACTGAACAGCGATGGATTTCCTTTTGGAAAAAAAAAAAACAAAACCAAAAACCCAAACAAACAAAAAAAACCCAAAACAAACAAAAAAAACCCCAAACCAAACAAACCACAACCCCCCCCCAAACGGCTCCAGCTGCATTTATTTGGGGCTCCAGCACCGTCCTGTTTGCTGGTAAGAAATGTGAGTGTGCTGCGGCCGCCCGCTGCAGCTGAGCACCGCCGGGTTGTTAATTCTGGGTTGTTAATTGCAAGGAAAATGGGGGTCTAAGACCGGATTTGCCCACCTTGAGGGCACCGCTTTCTTAATGGAGAATTCCCCAAGCTTGAAAGGTTTTTAATAAGAAGACCGGGCAAAGAGAGAGGCTTTGGGGGGGTGGAATGGGGG